TGTCAGGTTCGGGCCCGAACCTGGCAGAGTAAGTCCGTACCACCTCCTCGGGGGACCACAATCCACCCGAATCTCAGGTAGATGTATTGCCTCATCCTCGGGGGACTCATCTCCCGGAATCCGCTCCGTCGCTCTCCGGACCACTACCCTGATGTCCGCTCCGATATGGGTGAACCTAACGAATATTCCAGCGGAACTATATTCATTGAAAGGAATCAGTTACATAGCTTCGGGCATCAGCGAGCCTCTCCACACGGACAAGATGCGATTAGATCCGTTGAGTGTTGGTGAGGCAAAGGTCAAAGTGGAAGTTCAGTTAGGTGCTATTCTGCCTCAAGCTATAGAAATTGAGGATGAACAAGGCTCTGTAATCACGGTTAATGCCGCTTATCCTTGGATCCCCCCTAAATGCATCAACTGCGGGGAATTTGGTCACAAGCTCCAAAGCTGCCCGGTTCGTCAATCCCAGCCCCTACAACGTGTGGTCGAAACAGGGACTTCCATTGAGACGGTAGACAGTCAGCTCACAATCAAAGATGTGGCATCTGCTTCTACATCGACTCTACCCACGTCTGTATCTTTGGCCCCCAACACGACTAACGCAGGCGATCCTCAAATAGCGGACATGAATGCAGGGATTCAACAACCTGATATACAACCTACATGTCCCCATTCCCCTTTACAGCAAACAATCCAACCGACTATACTACCAGTAAGGACAGAAACTAAACTTGTGGCTCAGTCAAAGAAGACATCTAAGAATTCTCAGCGTAAGTTTCATTTCGACTCGGAAGACCAGTTCATTCTTAAAAAAAAAAAAAAAAAGTAACGGAACTGAAAATTTTCACCATGAGGAAAATTGAAAAATATGATAAGACAGGTCTAATATGACCCTGGTTAAAATTATGAAAAAGTGAAAAATATAAATTATACCGGAATTACGGGCCAGACCGGACCCCACGTAGTCTGGACCCAAAATGAATAACAGGTAAGGTTAGAAACCACG